ATATAAGAAATTGACGTTTGATGCATTAGTTAAGCTCTATTTGTCTTTTCAGTTCTAATTAGAAAATGTCTTATCCATGTATAAACACCAGGGAAAGGAAGCTCTTAGGAGCAATGAGCTATCTTGAGAAACACGAATCTACAAGGAAACCTGGACACTTTTCCTGATTTCTTTCCAAGCCCTTCTTTCTCTTCACTACACACAACTCCAAGAGTTTTTGGTTTGTTTTTTTTTTTTTTGTTTTGTTTTTGTGGGGGGAGGGAAGCAAAGAAAAAGAAATAGTATTAAATAAAATGGGTCTGTGTTGTCTGGCTCCCTTATAGGTAAAGCAACTTTAACTGAGATTCTTTTGAGAGTTTAGTAACTATACTCCTTGGAAAAGACTTAAAAAAGACTACAAGCTGAATTCCATTCTTTATTCAATTGCAAAACTCAACTATATCACTTTCCTTTACATAAAGATCTTATATAATACATAATCTTGCACAATTTGACTAAGTATAAAGGCAACACATAAGTCATCATACATGACCTCTCTTTAGACCGAAGAGAAGGATATATTACACAGGATCTGATTATTCACAGTCAAGTATGATAAGAGGAAAAAAGTCTATAACATAAAAACATATACAGAGGTTGTATGTAAACATGAGTCCATTATACATGCCTTCTTATTATGAAGACTCACGAAGAGCAGTTATCGTACCTTTGCCCTACACTACACATGAACTAGTATTGACATAGAGTAGGCATTCCACAAGCCTCTCTTAAATAAATGAAAGAAATGGCTTATCAAAGCCAGAATAAAGTCCAGTAGAATTAAATGATATACTAAAGCTATACACAAACAATATACTAGTAAGACTGGGTGAAAAAGCACCAGAAATGATTTGCTCTACAAACATCTATCAAGCACCTCCTGCGGCCCAGAGACACAAAGATCATGTAGTACAAACTGAAAGGTATCCCTCCTCCCAATCTCTCATCCTCTTTACCCAAATCCTCTCATGTTGATTTACTGTTTTGAAAAATGCCATGATTCTTCCCAGCCTACTGACCCCTATCTCTTTAAACTGTGTACCCTAAAACTCCAGTTAGCAAATTTCCCTACCATTTGCAGATGACTCTGTTTCTTTGGCTCTTCCCCAAGGACCTGCTTTCCCTGCAGTCTCCTGCATGGAAGTTATTCATTCTCCCATTCCCATGGGGCTGAGGAAGGGTGGACTCGGCTTTCTTCTGGCTCCCTAAGACATGACTCTTCCAGCCTCGTGACAAAGCTCACTGTTGTTTGAGGAAGATGCTATACAGCTGTACCATCTTCCATACCCCTTCCTGCACAGAAGTTCTGTGTGCCAGCAGTTCTCTTAAGGAGAAGAGGCAGGCGATGAAGCTGAAATGTATATTGAGACTATCCTGTTAAGTGCTTATATGCCAGGTTAAGGAAGAAAGATTTTACCCTGGAGACAATGGGTTATTACTCTGGGTAATTTTAAATTCAGTACCTCTATTAATATGAGGATAGTAGACAATCAGATATACATTTTAGAAAACAATTCTGGCAAAACTATAGTGAAATTGTTATAGGGAAAGAAAACCAGCTGGAATGTTATTGCTAAAGGGTAGATAAAAGACTGTGGCAGTCCTGACAAGGATTTTGGGGCTGGGAATGGAGAGAGAGGCATTAAAGAAGTCTAGTCAAATGGCCTTGGTGATGAACTGGATGTAGGGATGGAGATGGGAATGGGGTGGTGAAGAAGAAGAATCAATGAAAGGTAACTCTAAGGTTTCTGTCTTGGGTGACTGAATGGATACTGATACTACTCAGAGAATTAGAAAAAGAAGGTTGCAGGGGAGTAGGGATATAATGAG